CCCCCCCCCCCCCCCGTGATCGAACACCCAAGAATCAATTCCGGAAGGACCCGAAAAAAGTTTGTTGATTTCTTCAGCACCGTAGTTTATGCGGTACTTCAACATTTCGTGGTCCAAGAACATCATCCTGAGCAACGGTTCCTTCCCCTCCCACAACCGAGCGGTTCGTTTTCGTGGCAAGATAAGCGTTTGGTTTGTTTCCTAAGCATTGCCACATCCTCCTTTTCTACAGCAGCATGACACACTGCTGACACGAGGAATCAAATTTGCTCGCGTAGGCTGAAGACGAGCTTGGTTTGCTCCTTCCATCAGGCTCTCATACACTGTACCTGCGAAATCCTGTTGCGTGTGTGAGTGGCCTGTATGGACACGGGATCAATGTACCGTGTCCACTAACCACTGTCCACGAATGACTTATCACCATTCTATCAACAGGTCAAGGCGGACAATCCTGAGCTGAAGGTCACGGAGATTAGCAAGGTGCTTGGCGAGAAGTGGGGGAAGTTGGACGAAACTCAGAAGAAACCGTATCAGGACAAGGCCGACGAGGACAAGGCCCGCTACATACGAGAGAGGGACGCCTACGCCTCGAAAAAGGCAACCACGGAGCCACCTCAGCAATCTGGCTCCGACGCTAGCGACGCTGCGAGCGAAAGTGACTAGACCAAGCTTGCGTATAGTTTGAAAAGGCACTTGCTGGCGGAGAACTTGACAAAAAACAACTCAGTTGGATTTTTACCTCATCGGCACTTTCCGAACAACATGGGACGGTTTTGACGTCTTACACCTTCAAACTGTGGGCGAGCATTTTTTTTGAAATTTGTCGCGCAAGTGTTCGCAACGCCACAGACAGCGATCGTCATTCCTTGGACGTGGCATGCTGCTGCTACCTCCTTGCGTAGCTCCCTGGACACTCGAACGTGTCAACTGCAACAGAATGCTGGAACAAGGTCCCAGTAAGTGGCATGTGGTCCCAGTAGAGCATGAGCGTTACGGATGTATTCCGCAAACCAGCTCCCTGCAAAACGGCGCAGTTATTGAATGGGATTTTGGACCATAAATCAATCGAACTGGCGTAGAGTCGTAAACGGTCACGTGTTGAGACTGTTAGCTTTTTCACTGCCGTTGGTTGCCTCAACCATGATGCTGTGCCTGTGGTACAGTCATCGGACAAATACAAGGTGATATACAGGCATGTTTCAACACCTTTCAATTACTCACCTCGTCTATCAGACCGTACTTCACTGTCATGTCCTGTTGCAGGAGGTGGGCTTCCTCTGGGCTCTCGACGATTTTGTCCCACAAGATCACCTGGCGACGACCAAACAACGATTGCTTGTAGTGAGAGGAGCTTTGGCTCTGCCGCGAAACGCGGGCAGGACCATGGCGAGGGCAACACTTTCACACAAAAAGTTTCCATCCGCTCTCGCTCTCCGTTGTTCCATTGCCTTCACGTTCTCTCTGAAAGCTTCCCCTTGCTAGCAGAAATGCCAATTGTGGGAATCTGAATGATGCGAGCACGTTGCGATTCCTTGAATCATTATTGTTGTTTTTCTCCCATCATTGGACTCTGTCGTCTGCCCCTCTGGCCCCTATCCCTCACTTCTACCAGCTAGACGACCCAACCGGGGTCACATAGGAGGGGGGGGTTGAACCCCCTCCTGCGGTTCCTGCCTGAGGTATTTTTATCGCGAGAAGGGTACACAGCAATCCCTTCCCTCGCGACTTACAAAGTCGATTATGGTTTACTAACAAACGAGCTTTGCAGCGCGTCGCTTTCATCCAAGACCAGGATTAATTTAGTGAGAAAAAAACTATGCCGGGACTCGAACCCAAGACCTGGCCCTTAGCAGGCTGCGGGGCTACCCACTCCACCGTTATGTAGCCTTCGGAAACATGCGTATCCGGCGGTTTAACGTTGTGTTGAGGTGTAAAGTCGCTATTCGATCCGCGTTTTATACCTGTGATTGCTAGCTTTTATCAATCAACAAGACGTGAGCGGGAGCTCCACAGTAAATTTGCTGCCTCCGAGTTGAGAGACACAGCTGACTACGCTGTGCTGCTAGGGAAAAAGCCGCTAGGCCCCTCCCTAGATACTTTCATTTACAACGGTGTGTATCATATGCATAACATCAGACTTCGAAACAAGGCACAACCCTCACCAATTTTACCCTCGATAAACGAAAAGAAAGTACGTACCACTCCACAGCACATTACGTCACACACGAACCTTAATTGACTGTCGTTACGCATATGGGGAAATAAGATTTGCAAGTGCTGGTGGCCTTCCACAGTAGGCGTGTGCATCGATATCCAAGATGTTGGCGTCTGTGCCAGTCGATGACAACGCCGAGAAGCTACGCAAACCGAACGGATTGACTTGCCTGGTTTACAGGGTTTGTCGGGGTCTCGTACTCAGCTACCACGAACGCGAAGAGCTGTTTCACATTCCAGTTGAACGCCGGAGCCAGATCTGCATCAACATCAATGTTGAGGAGCAGCCGATCCGTGCCTTCAGATTTTCGGAACGTCCTGAATTTGCTCACCCCTAGCTTCCTCACGTCCGGAAACCCTGCCAAATCACCACGTGAGGCGAAACGGGAACAACAAATCGGAGATCTACCATACACACGCTTTGCTCGGCTCAAACCAGGAGAAACAGAGAGAGCACTCAGCTAAACACGCAAAACCGTAAGAAAGCACTGGCGAGGGAAGAGAGCCATACACACAGCTCGTTGCGGATGTAATTGTCATTGCTGCTGCTTCGGTGTGCGGGGAGGGATCATCGGCAAACTTGCGCCCGGAGTAGCAAAAAATCCAAATTGATCCCAGCAGACGCGGCGTTCTTTTCTTTCGGCTGTGCCAGACTCTCGCGTCCGCAATTTCTGAGCGTCCTACAGCCTCCTGGTGTTGATCACCACAAGACAGAGCATGGACACAGCTCGTGGCGGATACTTTGGGTAATGCTGTGTTTGGGGGTACTCAGCACTCGATACTGACCTACGGAGATCTAGGGGGTTTCGTGTATCATTGGCGGTATGTGTTGGTAGAGGGGGGATCCCCCTTCTGCTGTGCATTGGCTAGCATGCCCGGCGCACTCGTAAATATACCAAAGCTTGAGTCAACCTTTCTTCTCTGCGCTTCTGACAACAAGCTGCCCGCCTCGAGACACGATCGATCAGGCCTGGTTGAGGGCAGCCAGTATTAGCGTTTGACTTTTGCCGCGAGACGTGCTACCTTCGAGACATTCTACAGCTGGTGTGTGGGAAGCCGTGTCTATTTCGCAACGGCGGAGTGGGTGGTACTATATGGAAGCCGTGTCACTTTTGGAACGGCGGCGTGGGTGGTGTTCGATGTTCGATACATGGAGAATGTGTGTATGTGATCAGCAACTTCTTCTGGAGGAGCTGGTTCGGCAGGAAGGCTGACGTGTGAAGCATGGCCGGACCGGAGCAGCCATCGCGGGAGGAGCTGCGCGCGAGAATCCACGCGAGACTCCGAGAGGAGTATCCCAATTTCATAGGGTTTCTGGCGGCGCGGAATGCGGCAGCACCTGCGGCGACTGCATCTGAAGCTGGGCTGTCGCTGGAGATGTCGGTAGTTTTCGGAGATGCGGCGGAACTCGATACACTGCTTCAAAACCCCTATTATCGGTAGGGCTACGGGTCAAGCGCTGATGGGTGATGCTGGGCGTCAACAGCGAGGAGGTAACAATGGCCAACAGTACCAACAGCAGCAGCAGCCGTGGCAGAAGGAACGTGAAGCTATGCGGACTCTAGCAACAATACGAGGAAGAAGAGCGGGAGAGGACCGGAGAAAGGCGAGGGGAGATATGCGGGTTCGAGCGGTGGCGTCAGAGGAGACATTTACACCCCCCGACGCGGCTGTTGGAACTGGGGGAGACCCTGGTCGAAGGACGTGGTCACAGCAGCAGCCGTGGGGTGGTCCTCGCCAGCAGCAGCAGTGGGGTGGCCCTCCCCGCCAGCAGTACCAGCTGCAGCAGTGGTCTCGTGGGGACGGTGCTCCGCAGCGGCTGCCGTATCGTCCTGCCTTAAGGCAACCCTTTTCCGGTAAGCCACAGTTTGGGATTAGGGGGAGTTACGACTGCGGGAAGAACGCCAGATACCCTCAGCCGAACTCGCTGCTTCCACCGAATGCGCCGATGGGATTAGTTTGTGTCTGTGGGCGGTGTGCAAGACATGGACAAAAGGTATCCACTGTGCTGCCCAGGCAGTTTGAGGGCAACTGCTCCACGTGTGGTGAACATGGCCACATCTCAAACATTTGTGCCGTGCGCGGTCATGGGGTGTGGCGCACTCGCGTGTGAACGTTGCTACGACGCCACCTGCGACGACTTTCTCCATTGCGGGGGACATTTCCACGGAAACAGAGATGAGCTCTTTTGTGACGAGACGATTTTCCAACCACTTCAGACTGGTCCTTCAGGTTTTCTGGGGCGCCCGTATCGGCTGGACCTGGACGGCGGGTGGTGGTATTTTCCCTGCTGCGGCGGCGAGTAGAATGACTTGAGAGTCCGCGGTGGCAGATGCAGCGGTGGCATCGGGCGGCGGAGACGCCCGGTGGTGGTATTTTCCTCGCTGCAATGGCGGGCAGAACGGTCGAAGCGCCCGAGTTGGCGGCAGGAGTGGCGGGATCGGCGGCGGGTGTACCGGCGTCGCCAACACCGCCTGTGCGATAGCAGTACCAGCAGCCGCGAGAGACGACGATGTCGCCTTCGGGGGGCGACCGGCTGCTTGAAATCCGTCAGGAAGAGGCTGAGCAGACGGACGACACCGACAGCAGCAGCAGAGATGATGGACGGCACCCCGAGGAGGTCGTCGACAGCAACAGTAGCGGCGGCAACAGCAGGGGCAACGACGGGGGTTGGATTTAGCCTGGTTTGGAGCATTGCTGCGCCCCTTCTTCGACCAGGGGAAAGGCAGCATCGGTAGCAGCAGCAGTGATGGTGGACGGAACGCCGAGCAGGTCGGTGACAGCGGCAGCAACAGCAGCAGAAGCAGCAGCGACGACGGGTTGGATGTGGCCTGGTTTGGAGCACCGCAGGGCCCCTTTGACCCAGGAAAATCGCTGAGGGCGAGGGCTAGGGGGGCTGTGCCGGGGGTCGACACCCCTTTCGACCGTAGGAAAACGTTTGGGCGGCGACGGCCGGGGCGCATGCCTTCGCGACCGGAGCAGCGGAGGAGGATCTGGTGGCTACGGGAGCGGGGCGCCGAGATATGGTATTCGAGATCTGAACCGAGGCGCGAAGAATTTGACGGGCTTGCTGCGGTGGGAACTTTCGAGGTTTTGGTTTTGATTTTTTTTCTTTTTTGCAGTTTCTCGATGCAACTCTCTAATTTTGGTGGACATTTCATGCCCGCGTGTTGCTCATGTTGTGTTAGATTGGTAGTGCTTTGCTGTTGAATTTCTCGTTCTGGTTGTTGCAGAGGACTGATCATCTATGTTGCAGATAGGCATATGGTCGTTATGGTAGACAGAGACAGTTCAAACCTTTGTCGCCCAACCACTGTTGTTCGCCGTGCACAAAGCTAGAAACTTGGGGTGATTATTTTGAACGTTACAGCTGGCAACATGCAATAATTGTGTCGATCAGCTATTCGACTGCAAACCACTTACGAACCCTTGCAGGGAATTCACCGTACGGCACGCTGGTAGACAACGTAATTGAATGCTCACTTCTGCCTGTTTCTGGTGGATATTTGGTGATGTTTGCTGGGGCATGTGTGATATATTTGTGTAGGACGCAGAGAAGCGTTACCTGTCCGCGACGGAGGCCGAGTGTGTCGCCTTGACGGTGAGGATGAATGAGGTATTTCGGGGAACGCTGTGTTTTGATATGCGTATGCATATGTTTGCACTGGTTGGGTTGTGGAGAACTGTGTGCAGAGTTTGGGGGGTGGGATCGACTGGTGATTGCCTGACTTTCGACGAGATGTGAGTCAACGCAGCGGCCGTGACGTATGGATGAAATGCTGTTACAGGCAGATTATGGTGGAAAGCAATCGATGGAAGAAGGAATGGGGTTGGTCAACAATTGCCATGTCGGCACACAGGGGTTACTGCTTTGATATGACTTGTGTCGGGTATTTGGCTTTGGTTTGTTTTTGGGATGCGTTGTTAACCGGATCACGTTTTACCTGCTATTAGCTGAACACTTTGCATTGTTTTCTCAGCGGGGTGGGCGCTACATGTTCAATTTTCAGCTACAGGGCGGTTGGCAATCGTTTTTTTGTGTATTTTTGTGTTTAGCGGGGAGGCGTTCCCAGGATATATCTTTTGCTGACGGTTTTGATAGGACCGCGTTGCGCACTCTATTTCGTGTGTTTTGCTATTTTCTGGCAGCCTGTTTCTGGCAATGTCCTTTTGGCTTTGAACTATGCATCTGTGGGCTGGAAGTCTTAGGTAGGCAACATTCTTGGACGTTATGCAGAATCACTTCTGGTTGCACTGCCATCGACAATCATTGGGGGGCATGTCTTGCCATGATCCCCGCTGCAGTACCACAAGAAGTGTTTTGGCGTTGCATGGGTTGATGTTTGATGTTTGGATTTTAGCTTCTTGTACCACAAGTATACAACCTTGAAGCTTTTGATTGGATCTTTCATGTGGAGGATGTCATGGCAGGGGGGCTGTTGAGTATCGGCTCATGTTTTAGGTAAAACAGGCATGTCCAAGTAGTACACATTGGGGTTTGCCTTCATCTTGACTGTACTGCATTTATTTCTGTGCTTGGGTGAAGGATTTGGACCTTCTTAGTGAGACTGTATGCCGAGGGAAAATGAGATCGACATCGTAAGGTTCAGAGGAGGTCACAGAAGTACTACGGTATTGTGAGATTTGAGTGTATGGTATGCTGAACGACTGTTGTGTGTTTGGCATGGACTTTATCACCGTTTTACCCTGGTGATAATTGAAGAGTTTGTTAAATCAAATCGAGTCCCGAGTAGGTGGGCTGTGTGGGGGTACTCGGCACTCGATACTGATCTACGGAAATCTACGGGGTTTCGTGAATCATTGGCGGTATGTGTTGGTAGAGGGGCGATCCCCTTGTGCTGTGCATGGGCTAGCATGCCCGGCGCACTCCTTAATATACCAAGGCGTTGAGTCAACCTTTCTTCTCTGCGCTTCTGACAACAAGCTGCCCGCCTCCAAACGTGCTGTTGCTTCGGTGTGTGGGGAGGGGTCACCTGGAAACGAGCCGTGTCACGGGGAAATAAATGCCCAAGAAGAGCCCTTTTCTCGTCCCAGGCGCCTGGGTGTTCGTTCGTTTTTTCTCGCATGCATGCACTGCTGCAGAATGAGATAGGAGTCATTGCCATTACAGCAGCAGCAGCAGCACTACACGTGCATTGTAAGCTACCGCTGTTCATTTGTGGCTGTGTTAGCACTATTAGCTGCCGATCGATTGGCGGTACTGCTGTAGCAGAGACGAGCATGAGTTTGTTTCTCCGCCGTTGATATGCAGTAATTTTTAGTAAACTTCCAGCTGGAGCGGGTGCACCAGCCTTGCAAGATCCGTTCGAATACATACCGCGCACGTAATTAATTTGCGCGTTCAGTTAGCTGCGTTGGTGCCTGGGAGCTGCGTGTCTCGCACCTTGCACAGCATCGCACATAGTACATGTCAGGTATTGAGTCGTACCCAGCCGCTCATTACCCCTCCTTATCTATCTAGTATTCACCGTCCAACCGCGAGCTGTTGATTATCCTCTGATGCTGCGAATGGGACAACTTCTGCGCCATCACGCACATTAATCCAAGGTCTTTTCTGCTCCTCAAGGAGGCGTTCGTTGTAGCTCTCGGCAGGCCCAACTACAACCCGACTGAATCGCAACAGCAGTGAAGTTCCACCATGAGAGGTGTGTGAATTGAAGCACGATCACCATACCGTACGCACAGTTCGGGATTGAACTAAGGAGTTGTTTCGTCATATTGAGGTAAGGCCGAAGGGTAGCTGGAAACTGCAAGGGACGGTCGAGAATCGGATGCACAACACAACTTCATCGATGGGAGTCGGTTTGAAAGGTCGGCAAATAGCAGCCAACATCAAGTTTATATGCTGCAGTTCGCACCTCGAAGTGAGATTGCAAGCAAAACGAAAATACGACACGGCAACAGCTTTCCTCCATTTTTAAAATATGCAACGGGGACCTGCATCAACCATGAAGAGAGTTCAAGGCGGATGCACAACAACGGATCATATCTACAGCGGAGCCATGGCGGATGACTGGAAATTGGAATCGTTCGGCATTATGCAGGGAAGAGTTGCTGTAAGACGAACCTTGCCTGGACAATAACGGTAGTCTAGCCATTTCGTAAACCGCATAATTCTGGAAATTTGCCCGCTTTCAAGTTTGCATGGTCCTATCGCGGATGGATAGATTTGGCCGACCACTTCATCGAGAACACAGACGCGACATGGATGTGAGTCATGGACACGAGGGTGCAGTGAGCAGCGTGTCGTGCATGCTGGAATTTGGTCGTCATCGAAATTGACACGTGTCACGCCCGCAAAACTGGCCCAAGTAAATAAAACCCTTACGGCTTACGCGCCGAACTCGACAGAGGAGTGCTGGCTTTGAGAGGTGCGGCATCATCCAAATTACCTTAAATCACTCGATCTTTGTAGATATCGACTGTGTGGTGCTGCAATGGTGCTGCGGCTGCTTGCACCTGATCGTATCATCAAATTGCACTAGTCTACTCGTATTTAAGGGCGCCGACACCCTAAAACTCAAGATCCCACCCAGCACTACCCAAATGAATGTCTCGCGCGCTTCAGCAAAGTCAGCTGTTCTCGCACCTTTCGTGCCCAGCGAGTCTTACTGTACAGAGATCTCACCAAGTTGACCAAGAACTATGAACACCGCGACTTCCAACAGCAGAAGGAGCTGGCTGGCAAAGGACCGGCATACCTTGGTGGAGATATGTACTCAGCGCCGTGAGCACGCTCAACACAAGAAGAACAGTAAGCCCAAAGAAGACCACCGCATTCACACGAACCCATGCTGTATGCATGACGCCCCCAAGTTGGCACACACCACAGGATCAGCTCTGCTGGACTGTGCACCTGCTGCGTGCTGGTGGTTCGTGCAACAACGTGTTGGTGACCACACCGCAGCAAGGGTTGCGGTGGCCCCGTGAACGAGAAAGTTCCGGAGGTCCCGAGCGATCCATGCGTACGCGAAGCCCCCTCGCCTCGACGGGGTTTACTGCTGGGTGCATGATCTGTAATTACGCCGCACGTTCCGTGGCACTTGCTTGTAGACGACCGACCAAGTACTTCAGACAGATGAGAGAGCAGAGATTCTCTTGGTGTCGGTGTTCGGGGAATGCTACCACGCGAGTGCCTTGGCGAGCTCAGTTGGCGGTATGATCTCTAAGATGAAGCTGAGTTCGATGTACAGCAATATTGAGAAAAAGTCTACAGTGATCCTGTGCACGGCATGTCTCTGCCACGAAGAGCAGCTACAAGGCGCACACACAGACGTGCCGTGCACAGCAGAACTACGGTACAATATCACCTTCCCCCCTTCATGTGTTCATATTTTCAAGAAGGTTTGAACCATGATATGCATGTGATGCCCAGTGAACTTTTCTCACGGTTATGAAGTTCGCAGTGTGGTCGAAAAGTTGCCCTTGGCACGTGATGTGTATTCGTCCTACATGTATGCTGAAACTCTATATTTATGATGTTACGCGTTGCCGCGGTTCACAGTGAAATTGCGGAGTTCCATTGAGGTTTTTAGGGCTGGTTGTTCTCCACGCGCGTAACTTTTCCGCGGTAAGCGCGAAGCACACGCTAATTTCCATTGTCGGTACTGTAACGGGATGATGTAGGCTACCCGTCTCCACATCCAAACGTCCAACAAGTAATTTACTCACAACCCGGTAAAAACCTACTTAAGGCCGTTTTACGACTTTTTGTCAAAATTTTTGAAAGTGTCAAAAAATGGAACCTGTATGTAGGCGTTTGTCCATTTTTTTCAAAAATATTTGGAACGAAGTTGGGCGCGAAAACTTTGCTCCACTTCGTTCCAACTTTTTGACAACCCTCTCAAAGTATTTGGAGCACTTTCCAAAGTACCCTTGCAGAGGCACGCGAGGGCTGCTGCGTCTGCACCACGAGTGCCCCTCACCGTAGAAAGTCAGCTAGGGTTGTGTGTGAGTCATCTGTCGCTGTCGCTATTGCTATCGTCGCTGTTGCCAACGTTGACGATGCTGTCTGCTGTTGCTGTGTCGTCCGAAAAACGGCGGTCCGCCATGATGGCTTGCAGTTGTTGCTTCGCGTCCGCCGCTTTGTTTTTTCCTTTTCCCGGGGGGGTAGGAGCAGTGGTTGCCACCCCTCGCCGGCGGCCTGCTCCACCCTCGCTCTGAGTGTTGGTGGCGGCAGCGCCTCCCGTGGTAACATGAGTGTTCCCCGAGATGCCAGGCAGCAGCACTATCTTGCTGGAGAGCAAGCCTCCACCGCCTACGGCGGCACCGAGAGAGCCCGTCTGCTGGAATTTCGCCGGGGTTTTGGTCTGCCGGCCACGCTGGGTGGTCGTGATATCCATGTCGGTGTCCATGATGTCGTGTTTTCCGCGGTTTGTGTTGTGTCGTGTGTGTTGTCTCGAAGTGAGCGCTACAACTCACGGACGGCGTCATTTTTTTTTACACAAGTTGCACAAGTCCACGTCACACGTTTAAAATGACTGCACACAGGTTCCAAGTTTTTGAAAGACAAATGTCGAAAATTTTGACCAAAAAGTCGGTCCGTTTAAAACGGCCGTTAATACCGTGCGTGTTCTGTTTTGTCCTACCCTTACAAAACGGGCCCACAGTAGTTGAGTAACGTAAAGATCGGGTCGATTCTCATTCCATGTTTTGGGTCGAAGGACGAGTCAAAGTCAGTCGTCATTTTTTCTGAGTTTCTACTTGAATTGTATTGGCTGTCGCGTCATGCTGTTTTTCATTTCTTTGATTGGAACACTCCACCACACGCGGCGTTAACCCGGAACCTCGTCTGGCGAACATTGAAGAGGGATTTTCACCTTCCTGGACTTCCTGGCCCCGTCCTCTTGATCCACCTCAAGCAGCACACCCACCCCACAACGGCCGCGGCCTGAAACGACTATGACGGCACCTTGGTTAGGGGGTGGGTAGCAAGTGGGCGGTTAGTGGTGATGTTTCTTTTCGACACACGCTCTCAGCTCAACCAGGTGTTTCTTTTGTATTGGGTGTCCCCCCAAAAAGTTATCCCGCACACTTAGGTACACCCCCCCACCCGGGAGAGCAAAACTTGTATTGTTCTTTTTGCATTATCTGCATTCAGCAGCAGTGCGCACACGTCAAACAAACCTGTCTATCCTGTCGTGCACGGATGAAATGCTGCCGTGGCAATAAACTGCGCCTTAAATGCGTGCGCTCAGCACGTGTTGTTGTTGGAGACACAACACGGCGACATTCTCCTCATAATCCACGCCACATCCTCTTATCAAGTTTCTGTGAACCCCACAGCATTACGCCTCTACGCGCGTCGTCTCACGTAGATTATTTCGGGATTCTTGTTTGGGGGGGGTCCTTTTTCATATTCCAAATAATTATTTGGGCATCTAATTCGGAGGGAAATGATAAAATCCTCGCCCAAATTCCTACTGGCCGAATATTTCCTAGAACTCCAGCTGGCGAGTTTGAAAATAGGCCCATTTTCTAAACCGGATCGGCTGATAATTTCCAGGTTAAGAGTTGGGAGGGGTCACACCCTGGTCACACCCCGGTCGTGCCAGAACGAGGAACTACAACACCGTGTGCTGGCCAAACAGAGGCCTGTATCATGAGGTCATGCACAAACCCTCTACAGGAATCTAAAATTCAGGTCGTTCTGCGTCGTGTTGGTCGCACACGAGCCGACAACGTCAACCCTGCCGCATTGCTCTGCTGACGTTCTTGCCTTTGGGCCGAAACGAGGCGTCTCTGTGCCTGCTGCATGTATGGCCAGTCAATAACGCACGCCAGTGAGACGCTTTACGCCGTCGACATCCACAAACTGCAGCCAATTGCGTGTGGTCTTACACATACCCTCTGCTCGCGTTCCAGAAACAGAGCGTATTGTCCAGTTTTGATTGCTCACGGCCTGCAAACGTGAACCAGAGTGTGTTTCGGTGTGGACTTTTTTGGATCTTGCCTTTTTTTTTCCTGGTCGTTCCGAGTGTGATCAGTGCACAATGCATGCCAGAGAGAGGCCTTTGGCAGGCGACATTTACAAACTGCAGCCGCTGGCGTGCGATCATACATATGCCCTCTGCAGGCAAGCCAAGAACAGGGCGTTCGGTGTCTCGTTGGTCGCACACGAGCCAAAACCGTGAACTGAAGCATGTTGTGACCCACAAAAGACTTGAATCGGCCCTTTTCTTCCCCGGAGGACAACATATGCCTCGAGGAACCGTAAGGTCGCTTTGATCTGGATAATTGTTCCGTGCAGACCACCCCCCTCCCGACCGAGAGCAAAAAAAATCTCTGAAATAATCACAACCTTATGACTCGGCCTGGACGAAGAACCCCAATGCTCGACGGACTTCGCGGAACATACATGAAATGTTGGACCTCGCAATGAGCAAGAGTGTTACTTGTACGTTCTATCACCTACCGCCTACCGCTCTCCTCATTCATTCTCACTCGTGCGCAAAACTACGCCAACCGAGCTTCCGGTGCGGGATGCGTTTACGCTCCCTCAAGCGTACGTCTGGCTCCTCTTCCTTCTCCCCCTCCCCCTGTTCCTCCTCCTCTTCATCCTCTCCCCCCGTGTCTCCTCCCGTACCCCGACCCTGACCCCCTCCTTCTCCCTCTTCCTCACCACCCTCTCCCCCTCCCTCTTCGCTGAAGTCCAAGTCTACCTCTTCTGCACACCGAGAATATATTTGGCTGTAGTCTTGCGCCGCAACAGCCTGGGCTAGGCCGACGACCCCCCATGAGGGTGCGCTGACCATGCTCCCCCTTTCATCGTTTGTTTGGTGCCAGCTGTTGTACGCCGCACAGCGTACAGGTGCGGCGTGCACGCGCGCACGCGGCTATAGGGAGCACGCAGATGCACAGTAACCCCCACACAGGGTGCCCATTTCATTTGGCAGGGATTATCAGGATAGAAATGTGATGTATAGGATTTGTGATCGCGTTTTTCGGGGGGGAGTGGTCACTTGGTATCCTTCCCCTCCGAAAAATTCTCCCAACAAGAAGGGCACCTGGGTGTGCTTGTTTTTTTGTTCGAGCACCCTTTTGGGGTATCAGCCGCTACTGTTTCTTATTTGAACGTTTCTTAGGTTGTGGCCAAGATTGAGTCGTCTGTGTTGTTTCTCGACCCAATTTTTGTTTTTCGTAAACATGTGGTGATCGAGCCTTTTCTCAACGGAATTTTGCTCAACTGTTGACAGCTTCTGCACACACAAGTTTGTGTGTTCGTCGCTTCTATCCTGGCATCGTTTTACAGGTCTTTGGGCTGATATACCTGGCGAATCAGCCGGGGTCACACAAAAGAAAGGCCACACCGGAGCTATTTTTTTTCTTTTTGTTTGTTTTGTTGCCCCACCATTGTTCTCCCTGCGGTGCTTGCCTTAGTTTTTTTCGCGAGAATGGTTCAGCCATCCCTCTTCCTCGTCGCCCGTGAAGAAGCCGAAGTTCGTTTACTCACGACCAAGATCGCTCAAACCACACGTTGGTGGAAGCTTATGTCGGGATTAAAGCGCTACGCGGAGAGAATCGGATCCACAAACTGCCGCTAGGGAGTCGTGCAGATTGCCAACTAGACCACACCACTGGCTGTGCATAGTAGTACGCCGCGGTATAATCGAAATTCGCCAATGGGTCGCGTCCTTTCTCCTTACCATGGAGTACATCGCGAGAACAATCAAATCCCAATCACTGCATCCAAACACCAAGCGTCTTACCGAATGAGGAGTAAGTGCTCTTAAACACATACTATGCACAGCGCGGGTAGAAGCGAGGAAATAAGCTTGAATCCGAAACCCTAACCATAATTATGTCGGACATATGTTTGCGAGAAAAACTCCCGGTTCGTGTGAATGCACCGAGAATGAACTCACGTCCAATTGTCAGAAGCTTGCGAGGTTCTATCCTGAACCACTTAGCCTCTGTTATGTAGTACATTCATGGCAAACATTTTTACAACAGAATGAAAGCGACAACGCGTAACCTACAACTGTAAAACATTAAATCCCGATGGCGTTGAAAAGATATCCACAATGTGAACTTTGGGGCTAGAGATAGCGCTACAAGCTTGTCCAGGCCATTGTAACCTTAAATTGTCCCACAACTGACAACGACCGAAACTACTAACCAACCAATACATACCCTTGGTAACCCCTCCATTTATAGACTACGACAGTGACGGAATTTCCGTGAACCCTTGTTTTATGACGTTAGATGCAAAAATTGTGTCTTGGCGTTTTGGCCGATCAGCGGCCTCCATCCACGCTGTTCGAGATGGAAAATCCCGAAACCAATGCAGCAACACCAACCTTCCCCGACCATCCTTCAATTCAACCCCAAACAACCTTCAACCAAGGAAACCAGCCTAATAAAAATACAACTGAAAATGGTCGTAGTGAGAGCGAGAATTCCCTGCGATGTGACCTGGTGTCGTTGGGGGGCCACCGGTTTATGGACACGGGAGCCATGTGCCCTCCGATGATCCCCTATTGTAGGGGAGCCTCCCCAGGGTGTGAAGGGGGAGGCTAGGCCCCAAAGCCCCTATAGAACGGGGTAGAAGGAGAGAGGAGTATGTAATGTGCAGACATCAACAGAGGCCCCCCCGGATGGGACAACTACCGTATCTGCGCTCCTAGCAGAGCCCTGTCCACAGGTTGTGGGGAACAATCACCCAGGAAAGCATCGAAACGGTTACTCCATTGAATGTAACTTCTACTGAACGTATGGATCGTCCCCCCAGTTTGGTAGCTTGGCAGGTATTGATCATACGAATCCGAATATATATTCTTGGAGGTATCGCGAAGTTTCTCCGCCCCTACCGGCTTATCGGGGTCTACAGGTGAAGATCCGGAAGACGGTGTATATGCCTCAGAAAACATATGGTACTTTGCATCGAATTTAGTCTGCTCCGGTGTAGTGTGTTGGACGTCAGTAAAAAATTTCAGTGTCCAACTCGGGAAAACTGAGGTATTGAGCGGTTAATGAAAGCGTAAACATACTTTGCCCATGGCCCTTTTATTCCAATCCGTTTAGGATTGGTTTCAGCTGCGGAAAAAAACAACTTAAATGAATTTTGACCGGAGAAAAAGTGACCGGACAAAATTGACCGGGGCCGAGTTCTCTCGGCTCGCGAAAGATACGAGCATGAGATCGCGGCGGTGCCTTCACGAGACCTACCACTCGAGGGCCCTGTCGAAGGAATCTCAATCGAAGCAGTACCGGCGCCAAACCCAAGCATCGTGTCTGGCTCAAAATCCCTTTGACTTGTTTTTAGCCTGAACACCTGTTTGCTCTGCTTCTCCGCGGCTGAATGCTTTGAGCTCAACAACGCCACAAAACCGCCACGAGGACGACGTTCGCGGCCATGCCTGCCCACACCCCAGCCCTCGCCAGCACGGCGAGCGTTTCAGCTCGCGTTGCACGCAGCGCAGAGAAAAAAGTGCAATACCCCCCCAAATCAGAGGCGCTGAGGCACCTCTTGGGCAACCCCTTGCATTTTTTCGCCACGGCGTACTCCACAACCGAGCAAGATACAGCCCCATGCTGGCCGCGGCTCGATGCGCTAGGACGAAATAGGCGTGCTGCGCAAGTCTCGGCAAGGACGGTGGGGTGGGGAGCGAACAAGGCGACGAACACCGTTTCGGCTGATTTGCGAGTCGAGCTGCGCTGCGCGGCCCAGCAGACGAAAAGTTTGCCGCATCGATAATTACGCGTCCTGCTCACGAAAGTCCACGAAACTCCGATAGCCAATGCAAACACTGTCCATCAATGTGCGTGCCAATTAGAACGCCATCCGACCTGCCTGCCCCCGCGACAGCTTTTCGCCATCGCTACGCTGACCTCTCGCGGCACAAAACAATCACCCCGCAAGAATTCGCAATTTCTCAACACGTACTCAGCCCCTCGACAAAAACGTACATCCATGTGGAGCTAGAACTACACTGTGTTCGATGCTCACCCCTTGGTACATCCCATAGGGCGGATCACGACGTACAAGCAAGGTTTGTGCCCAGGGGAGACGAAAAATGCAACGCGTGAGCCACGGGGGTACACATTTCCCGTCACATGCCCCCTCCGGCCTTGTGCTGCTGGTCCATCTGCCGCAACCTGGCGTAGCTCCATCGCATAAGGCTGTAACGCACGAACGGGCCTTTCGGCATCATTTCGCTGCCAATTTGCAAAGTAAGCATCTACCGACATCGAGCATCGAAAGGGCTGCCTGCGCATCTCTTTAAACGGGGCAGTTGAAGCTTGTATACGACGAAACCATGTGCGCCAAACTACACCCGATCACCATGCTTGATTTTTTTTTTGTGACATTCTCTCTTCCGCTTGATTCGTTTTCGCCGGGTTTCACCCGAGCATTTCGTACCCTTCTGCCAACCTCTTTCGCGAAACACTGCAACGATCGTCTCACCTCCATTCCGCTGCCAGCCGGGAAAGTAAGCAGCTCCCAAAAACGATCATCGAAAGGACGACCTATGCGTGCCCTCATCTTTGGCTATCGATCCCCATGACGGTTATAACCTGTGTTTCAAAGGCACGTGCCGGCAGCCCTCTTGTTGCCTCCTCTCCGCAACTTTTTTCACATCACCCGTCCGAGGGGCAAGTCATGCCCATGGCGTCACCCTCCCACAAGCAATAGTCTTGTCATTCAGCAGTGGTCCCTGCATCTAATTCTTACGCAGAGAGTCGGCCGTGCTTTATACAGCTGTAGCGTACGTGTGCGTGTTACACTCCTCGCTTATGTTGCGTGTCGGGTATGTGTATGCAGTCCCCAATCAATTGACGGTCTCTGTTCTCAGTAGTTGTATGATTGTATACATAGCACACCAAAGCTTGATTTTTTGGTCTCTCTGCTGCCGATGAACATCGTCGACACGATGACCGCTCGCCCTTGTGCTCATGCTTGTTCTGATGCATGCATGCACGCATGCACTCGACTGCCGGTGTACTACAGCAGTACTATTACTGCACTCACTACTACTGCGCACGTTGCTGTAGTACTGCATGTACTGCTGGACATCATCACATTCCACATCTGGCCTGGGTGCGCATGTACGACGGAGAACTATCGGACTGATTCTTTGTGACACAGGGCATGCGACAAGGATGTGTGCTATCCCCACTCCAGTTCAGCATCTTCTTCGCCGATGTTCTCGAGGTCGTCATCCGATTTAGCGAGGATAATGTTATTCTGCGGAGCCTGGTGTGCTTGGAGGAGGGGAAGACGTAAGTGGGGGGGAGGAGGAGACAACCTTTGACCGAGTTCGGAGGGCAGTATGGGGGATGCTGTATGCCGATGATGCCGGCGTCGTATCGAGGTCTGCAGAAGGGCTGGCGAGGATGATGATCATCATCATTGAGGTGTTTGGGGAGTTCGGGCTAACGGTGTCGGAGAAGAAGATGGAGACGCTCCTGATGCACGCAAAGGACAGGCCGACTACAACATCACAGCGCGCCCCGCCTCCACCGCTGACCATCGAAGCCGCGGGACAGAAATACGCCCAGACGACCGAGTTCCGGTACCTCGGTGGCCTCGTCAACGAACATGGCGACCTCACCCGGGAGATCAACTACAGGAGCAGAGGAGCGTGGACGTGCCTCTGGCGATATGGCCGGGAGCTCTTCGACAGACCGCAAACGCCATTCCGACTCAAGATCCGCCTGCTCCAGGCGGAGGCGATGGAGGTACTCCTGTACGGCTGCATGATATGGTCACCACTCAGCGGCCACTATCAGACGATGCGGTCGATACACCACTGACTGCTCCTTCGAGTTATTGGGTACAAGCGCAAGAAAGACACCTACCGGCAGCTCTCTTACGCCCAGACGCTGAAGAGGGTCGAATGCCAGAGCGTTGAAGCCACGATCCGACAACGACGCCTACTGTTCGCGGGAGCATTGGCAAGGCAGCCNAACGCTGCACCATTGCACCAACCCCCCACTAGTGATGACGTACCATTACAATGTATCGCTGGTTGATGGCCATGTTTGCGTGTTTGCTTGTCGTTAGTGGTCTCTCCACTGTGAGCCTTTTTCTGTCTCATATTGTTATTTTCGGCATGGTTTTTTTTTGTCCTCGCTGTTTTAATTTCATTTTCTCTTTCCTTACTGTTTCCATGTATTTTCTTCTCTTTTTCTCTCTTTTTCTGGGCCAGATGGCCTTATCTCTGCGTGCCCGTGACTCCTAGTCTCAGTTGCTCCCTCGCACAGCGCGCAGAGGGAGTGGAGGACTCCAGAATATCTGTCGTTGATTTCTATTGACTTGCGGATCCCTCGGGGCCATTTTATTTTGAGTGTACATTTTTAGGGTAAGTTAGCCTGCGACCACGGGAATCGACCGCGTCGAGTGTTGTATCAGTACGGACATACGAAGGTACTGGGTAGAGAGTGATCGGACGGTTTTTAATGTGAAGCAACAATAACAACAACAACAATACGTGTTATTGCATACATACATGTAGTCGTCTTCTACAGCAGTACGTACCTGAACATCTGCCAGCAGCTACAGCAGTGAAAAGAAGGGTGAAAACCAGATAGCATGTATCCACCTTTATGACCCAGACAGACAGGCTCTCTCTCGCGGCCTTAAGACGACGACGTCGTAGTAACAATTCCACCATGCGCCAAGTAATATCATGTCATCAAGACAGGCAACAAGCAAGCGCCGCCTTCCTCATGCACAGAGGAACGGTGGAATTATTCAACGGTTCAACAAACAATTGCAAGTGCTGTGTGCGGTGTGTCTGTGAGGTACTTCTACTGTAGATGGGATTTTTTGTTGCGCTTACGGTAACATTACGCGGTAACTCGAAAGCACGGTAAATCCGATTTTTCCACGGTAATTTGTTGTAACGTAATGGGGCACTACAATTTGTTCGTCAACGGTTTGGGCGTTAACGGTAAAATCAATTTGTCACGTGAACGATTTGGATGGAAACGGTAGTTCTCATATTTCACGGGATCACATGAAACTGTAATTATCGTGGTTTTACTGCAGTAACATCACCGCGGAGAAATTAACGAGAACAGCCCTGCCGTTTTGTCATCAACAACCACCAAACAGGCGCTGACCAGCGCACAAGAAGAAAGACTTGCAAACTGCTGAATGGCGCAGGCATAGATCCATCCGCTGCGTGACATGATGCACAATAATAATTAATTAAGTTGAACGAGAGAGAAATGACTCCGTGACAGAGAAAGCGACGCACTCACTCCCATTTTTCCGTTTGGACTTTGTTTTTTCGTTGTGACACGCACGAAATCCAATCCGTTCAAAGGATCAAAGGAACGCGGACCACGGATTGGAGGCAGCCCTGTAAATTAGGGCAATTTATCGCTAAAATCAAGTATTTCGTGGGTAAGCAGCGTGGTATTGGTAATAAGCAACAAAAACCTTGCCGAGTTTTTTGAGATAGGTCCCCAAAATTTCCACACTTGTCCGCAAGGTCGTTGCCTGACTTTTACGAGCGGGGTGTTCGTTTTTTTTTCTTCGTCGCCGAATATGCGGAGTCCCATACATACAATGTTACCCTGGAAATCGCGGGATCCTGTGCATTCGGCGAACAACAAAAAATAATACTGTGTGCACAGAAACCAGAGCTAGAGAAGTAGCGAAGGCGATTTTTGACCCTCGTCACACACACACAGCGTGTACAATAATTGAAAACTGCTTGTCAAAAGTGAGGCAACGACGTCGCGGACATGTGATCCAAACTAGTGATCTACTGTAACTAAGTAAACGGCGTGCAAATAACCGAGTTTGGTATGTTTTTGACTGGTCCAGCTCGCATTGCCCGGGTATTCAGCGAGGATTTTGTATCCCTCTTATTTATGATGCAGGGTGGCTCGAGAAAACGTTGAAGGTCACACTGTGACCAAGGTTTTGCAGTGTGGAGTGGATCCGTTTTAGGTCGGTTGCTTCCCTTTCCTTCCGTTCCCTCTCCGTCGCTTGCTATTACCTACTTCCTAATCGAAACACTATCCCCTCGAATCTTGGAATTGTTGGGGCATGAAATACATGCCAAACTCAAATGTCATGGAGTGTCTTTGCTAATTTGCTGCTTCAATTGCACCAGTCAGTCGGCTGGTGCTACTTGCTGCGCTGGACTACTGCTGCTTGATCCTTTCGTTATTTTGTTAGCGCCACAGCAGCAGTACAGCAGTGGCATCGCCATCACAAGTTACAAGTATTCTCTTGGTCAGAACTTGTCATCCGGAGCGGGCTCAGAAGAGCACAGAAGGTCCTAAAATTTTACTCAAAAGCTTCTGGCAGTTTTGAGAAACGGGTTTCGTGTGTGATTTATTCGGAGATCTTCTCGGTGCCACACCGAACCGAAACAGAAACCCAATTTCTGTATTGTTCGGCTTCACCTGACATTACCCCCACGGATCATCAACTCGCATGTTCGATTGCCGCAACACACTCCACGACGGTTGATAGGTCCAATATGCGTGAGGGACGCAGAGATTAGCAGCTCCCGAGAACGGGTGTGACAAGGGCCTGCAGTTGATCTGCGATCGGCTGGTGCACTTCGTTGGAAAATCAACGTGACGAGGGCCGACGGTGATCTGCTGAGGGGTGGGCTGGGTCATAGCAACTTGCATTCTAACTGCCTCGTTTGCGAGAAGATGAGCGTAGAAAAGACCACACACCATAACGTCATCAAAAGGAGCATTGAGAGCCTGCTGAGAGCCCGTTGTGCAGGCTCGATGCATCAACAACCAAACGTTCGTATACTGCCTGCTTTGTATTCGTTGCCCTTCTCGTGCATACACATACGTATTGACATAGTCAGTGTCGATAGTCTACGCTGTTGTGCCTAACACAGACGATCTGGATAGATTCATCGGGTGATTTTCAATTGCAATGATAGCTGCTTTGGTTGAGCGTTATTTTTCACTGTCCACGGGCACTATTTGACAGCACTTCAGACAGCAGCTTCGTGCTCCAACTTCTTGTTCCACGCCTACCATGGTATTATCTTACAGAGACTACGGCAACCATCCATTTTGGAAAAGAATGGAACTGGGGGAGGGGGTTGATGCTTCCGTAGTCGAGCTTTGGGTACGCACGCGTACTGCGTGTTCTTTGGATCTTCTGATGGCTCTAGTATTTTTGAAACCACGGACCGAGTCTTTTCTAGGTTTTGGAATTTGCAACTGGCACGAGTTTAATCTGAAGAAACTGACAACAACAACAACAACAACAACAACAAAGGCCCGCGCGGAACGAAATCGTTAAACCTCGACCCAATCGTGACACAAGTGTGGTTCCCACGTTTCAACTACAAGAAGTACTATCTATGGACAACATTTTTCTTTCGTCTGCAAAATTGCGCAGTCCGCAGTGTTTATATGTGTGCATACGCACGGAGGGATGGTCGATGATAATCACCACATAAATTTCATGACAAGTATACTGGTTGACTGTGAACTACAGTTTTTCACTCAATCAACAAAATTTTTGCGAGGTTTGTACAATCCTTACGTGTGGACAGGGCTCTGATATGGAAGTTGGAGAAGTTGATGGTGCCCCCTTGTTGTTCCATCCGGGGGGTCACTGTTGACTTCCGAAAACAATATACTCTCCTACTTTCTCTTCCCCCCTCTGTGGGGGCTTAGGGGCCTAGCCTCCTCCCTTATACACCCTGGGGAGGCTGCCCTAGGTGGTCAACGGAGGGCTTACCGTAAGTGACACAAGATAACACACCCCGGTGGTAACATTACTGAGTTTAAAAATATTTATCACCGGGGTGTGGTATCTTGTGTATCCCGGGTGATAAAGTACAGCTCGCAGGGAGCCCTAAGGGGGTGTGATAAACCGGGGGGGGTGATAGCACGTAAGACCACCCACAGGGTATGTTTGGGGTTGTGGTAAATGAGGGGTGTGATAAAAAGGGGGTGTGATAGCACGTCGGACCACCCACAGGGTGTGTTTGGGGGTGTGATAAATGAGGGGGTGTGATAAAAAGGGGGTGTGATAGCACGTCCCAACACCCACGTGTGATGGTAAATATAGGGATTTGTTATACTGCCCCGCACATACCATGGTACGCCACCTACCGTAATGTAATACTGATAAACCGGGGGGGATGATAGCACGTAGGACCACCCACAGGGTATGTTTGGGGGTGTGATAAATGAGGGGTGTGATAAAAAGGGGGTGTGATAGCACGTCGGACCACCCACAGGGTGTGGTTGGGGGTGTGATAAATGAGGGGGTGTGATAAATGAGGGGGTGTGATAAAAAGGGGGTGTGATAGCACGTCCCAACATCCACGTGTGATGGTAAATATAGGGATTTGTTATACTGCCCCGCACATACCATGGTACGCCACCTACCGTAATGTAATACTGATAAACCGGGGGGGATGATAGCACGTAGGACCACCCACAGGGTATGTTTGGGGGTGTGATAAATGAGGGGTGTGATAAAAAGGGGGTGTGATAGCACGTCGGACCACCCACAGGGTGTGGTTGGGGGTGTGATAAATGAGGGGGTGTGATAAATGAGGGGGTGTGATAAAACGGGGGTGTGATAGCACGTCCCAACATCCACGTGTGATGGTAAATATAGGGATTTGTTATACTGCCCCGCACATACCATGGTACGCCACCTACCGTAATGTAATACTGATAAACCGGGGGGGATGATAGCACGTAGGACCACCCACAGGGTATGTTTGGGGGTGTGATAAATGAGGGGTGTGATAAAAAGGGGGTGTGATAGCACGTCGGACCACCCACAGGGTGTGGTTGGGGGTGTGATAAATGAGGGGGTGTGATAAATGAGGGGGTGTGATAAAACGGGGGTGTGATAGCACGTCCCAACATCCACGTGTGATGGTAAATATAGGGATTTGTTATACTGCCCCGCACATACCATGGTACGCCACCTACCGTAATGTAATACTGCGAGATGTGGTGATAACATTTTTGAGCACATGACCTCGACGATGTGTTTACCCGCTCAAAGTTTCAAACAAAAAAGGACTTGAATGGAGCAGAAAAAACGAAAAAAGAATGTTAGGATCGAGGGCGCCCGCGCCCCGCGGCGCTGCGGCAAGTAAGGTGTCGCCTGGGAGCTAGGTATACGTTATGACCCAGGAACGGCGGGGACAAGAACCAAAAATGATAACGGGTCCATCTACCAAGCAGCGTCCGTGCTTCTATCATGATTGCACAATCAAAAACTAAAAACACAAAAATCAAAGGTACCTCGCCCGATATATTGCCAGGCGGTCGCCACAGAGTGGCCATTCCGTCCTACTCCCTCACAAACAAGTACCTATTAGGCCGCTGCTACCTACCTTGCTACGTCACCACGATCGAAATCAAGACCACTAACCACTACCGCAAACAACACTACGTTGCACTCGACGCGTCGAAGAAAAAAACACACGACGAAGGAAGAGAAACGCACGCCAGGAAAAATGCGAGGGAACATGAGAAGGACACCACAAACCATTTCTCAACACCAGCATCGCCGCCGATGCCTCACGGCTCCTCGCCCTCGTCGTCGCTGATGTCCACTACCACCTCGCCCGTGTCGTCGTCATCGTCGATCTCCAACACCTCCAGCAAGTTGCCGCCTCCCGACGACGAGTCAGCCTTGTCCGCACCGGCCGATGGCGCGTCGAGGGGCTCCCCCTGGGCGTTGGAGTTGAGTTCCTTGTTGGCCCAGGCCTCGTCTTCCGACCCGTCGAAGGGAAGCAGCAGGCCAGCCTTCCTCCAGCTCGCGCGGACTTCATCCGCGGTCAAGGCGTCCCACGACTTCTTGACCCACTGTGCGACTAACCCCCGCGAAGGGGCCTCCGGGTAGCCGTGGTCGCCGCGTTTGACGTGAGGGGAAGCCATGTGGTCGTCGTAGAGCCTGGACATGTTTGCCTTGAAGATCTTGTTGACGAGGCCATCGCACGGCTGGAGCTTGGGAGTCAGGCCTCCCGGGATGAGAAACAGCGTCGTGTTGGACTCCGCCATCACCTTGGTAGACGCGTCCGTCTTGTGGACGGTATAGTCTTCCCACGCCAGCAGCGTGTCAGGCTGACGGTAGCCGCCCAGGCGACCCTGCCGCCCCGGGCGCTGGTTCCACACCTGAGGCAGCCAGACCTCGTTGAACACCCGCTGGGAGTGCCATGCCTTCGGGTCCTCGATAAAATAGACGACACCTCGAGGGTTTGCGTAGCCCTTCTTGTCCTTGTAGTCCTTGAACTCGCGCTCGATGCTGTTGGCGGCAGGGGCCTTCCCCTTCGGCGTGGGCTGGCCCTTGAAGATGACGAGGGGCGGCAGCTTGCTGCCGTCGGCGAACACCGTCAGGACCGAAGTGATGCGCATCTTCTCCTTGCCGCCGGTTTTGACGCCAACCTCCTTGTCGCCGGTGCGCTGCGGGATTCCATAGAGCAGCGAAAAGCGACGTCAACGTTGGGTATGCAGAAATGATTTTTGTTCCCCGGGTTCTCCATCCACGTAGGAGTCTCATCCGTGTTGGCGATCTGCGCCAAGGCGAACTTGGGACTCGGCCCCGACGGAACTCCAGCGCCACTCCCATCCCCGCTGCCGCTCGCGCTGCCTCCCGCCACTGCCCCCAGGCATTCGACTCCGTCCGCAAGCTCGGCGCGGAAGGAACGTCGTACTTCAGTCTCATCCAATCGTTGATCGCCTGCATGGCGATCACGGGCCAGCCCGTAGGAAGTTTTTGGCCTTGACGGGTGATGGGTCGCACAGAAAAGCGGTAGACCCTGAGAACCTTCTGCACCACGCGGTCTTCTTGCGGGTGTACCGCAGGTTGTTCTTGATGTCGGACGGCGGCGGCCTCTCCCCGAATAGTTCGGGTTGAGTTCCGTGGTCTTGTTCTTGATCATCCTCGTCGAGACACGGGCGGAGATGCCGTCACAGCAGATCATTGATCCAGTCCAAGACCTCGCGTTCGGCGTCCGTGTGCGTCCTAGTCCGTCCGACGTTCAGCGACATGCGGTGCTTGGCTTTCTTCCTGCTCTTCACTCGCAAGTACTTGGTCTCCTCCGCAAGCGCGGCTTCGTACTTGTCGACGTCTTTGACCCACGCCGCCAACGTGGCCTTGTCGGGAATCCTGAGGATCCTGATGGCGTATGTTACGCCAACAGTCCCGCCCGGTCCTTGCGCCCCCTTGAGGTTTCTCTGCGAGTACCTCACGGCATTCACCTTGAATTGCAAGGTGTAGCGCTTGCTTTGGGTTCCACCACCATGGTCGGGAATCGGGAAGTCCGGCGGCTCCAGCTCCAGCCGTGCTTTCTTCCTCTTGCCCTTGTTCTGTGCCGGCGTACCGAAGAGAACACCGCCGAGCCCATCTCCCCACTCTGTCTCTCCGGGAAACATCATGTTGCCGGATTTGCCATCGTTGGCCACCGGAGCTCCTGACGCTGGTGCTGGTGTGGCTGTTGCTGCTGCCGCTGCTGGTGTTGCTGCTGCCGCTGCTTCTGCGTTTCCTGATCCTTGATCTGGTGCCGGTGCCGGAGCTGGCACCGATGCTGGCNCCACCACCATGGTCGGGAATCGGGAAGTCCGGCGGCTCCAGCTCCAGCCGTGCTTTCTTCCTCTTGCCCTTGTTCTGTGCCGGCGTACCGAAGAGAACACCGCCGAGCCCATCTCCCCACTCTGTCTCTCCGGGAAACATCATGTTGCCGGATTTGCCATCGTTGGCCACCGGAGCTCCTGACGCTGGTGCTGGTGTGGGTGTTGCTGCTGCCGCTGCTGGTGTTGCTGCTGCCGCTGCTCCTGCGCTTCCTGATCCTGGAGCTGGTGCCGGTGCTGGAGCTGGCGCCGATGCTGGAGCTGGCGCCGGTGCTGCTCCTGATGGCGGCGCTCCGGGCGTGGAGCCCGCCCTACAAACGACAAGAGTAGACATCATGTGCCGGATGGAACGAAGCGGTCAATGTTTGAACGCACGAAAACATATGTCGTGTGGGTAGAAACCAAAGGTTCCTTTCATAAAGTGCTGGCTAACATTTATAGCCGAAAGGGCACCGTTTTCAATTCTCGAAATACCGTTTGCGGTTGAAAGTACCGTGAGGGTGAACAAAAAATTGCAAAACAGGCACGGATGCACCATCTAGGTACCGGTAAATCAGCGGCAACAATGCTGCGATAATTACAATTGTTATAATTTTACCATTCGTGGGTGAATTAAACACATGTGCAAAGCAGAGAACAACAGCTGGAAATTTCCTCAGGTATGCCAGCTGCAAACAAAGCTGCGGTATTTCGGCAACACAAAACGCCATGCAGGAACAAAAATCATATATGCCTAGGTACACACATACACATACAAAAATGTGTTTACCGCGGGAACGTGTGGCGCACGCAAGCTACGCACAAAAAAACTTCAAAAATGTGTACCGCGAACGTGTGGCTCAAAAACCAATGTAAAAAAATTACACGAACGCGGGAGTCTGCGGGTGGCGCAGAAGCCAACCCACAATTGCACGTTTCGAGACCAAACGCGGACCGATACCACTGCTGTACGACAAACCCGCGATGCTCACACACACATTTCTCACTTGGATCGTTTTTCCGTGCCGAATGAAGTGCTTGGCTCCTGGTCCTCCGCCACGTCCTCCACCACCAGCTGAGAGGCTTGGCTGGTGGCGCGTGTTGACTCCTCTGCGGTACTCGTACGTGCAGCTGAGAGCGAGTCAGCAACTGGCTGCTGGTGAGGCGAGGCGGTGGCTGTCATGTTGGCACCTGTTGCAGTGCCAGCTGCTGCTGCTGTCGTTAGATCAACAGCAGCAGCAGCAGCAGCAGCAGCAGCAGCAGCAGGAGCCGAAGCAGGAGGCGCTTGCGCAGAAGAAGGTTGCTTGGTTTCAAAGAACGAGGTGATCTGCGACGCCTGTGCTGCTGAGCAGCTGCGGAAGTACTTGCGGCGGCAGTCTGCTCTTCTTCCCGCGCGTTCATGTTGTTGGAGGTCTCCATGCGGGGTGTTTTCCCCGCACACGGAGCGTGTGTTTTGTGTGATGCGCAAGGGCAGATGCTGCCACCCCGGTGATGATAAAGAAGGAGCCCCGTGAATACATGCGGCGTAACCCGATTTATCACCGGGGTGTGTTATCTTGTATATCCCGGGTGATAAATCGATGGTTTGCCAGAAACGCCCAAAATTATCACCGGGGTGTCGTATTCTGTGGGGGGTGTGTTATCTTATGTCAGGTGGCTTATGTTGTGTCACTTACGGTATATGGCTCTCTTGTCCATATGCGTGTGCTTATGTATGGTTAATATGGAGTGACGCGGACTTCTTCGATGGTCGCTTGGTTGGCTGTGAAGTACTACGGGGATCCCATGCTTGTGTGTGTATTCTTTTGTGAGAGAGTTAAGATTGATGACAAGCTGCTATCGAGTACACCACACACACCTGCGGATGATGATCGTGGCGCATAGTGATGAATTCTGTCAACTGCGACGACTATTTTTACCTGTATTATACAGGGTGTAGGATACTCTGTCGGGCCCACGATAGACTATTTTACTCGTATCCTAAACTTTTTGCGCGTGCATTATCTACATCATTCAACGCCTCTCGACTACTTGCAACACATCGCACGATAAAGTTCAGAACCAAACACATTAGGATCCAACAGGTAAACGAGATGTGATATTTTTGTAACTGTCCTCCAGGGTTTCCGAGGTATTGCACCGCCATCTCACCAGTAGATGTAGACAAACATGCAAATGGCGTGCCGTATCGATGCGATTGTAAGGCAGGGCAATAAATTCGGGAAAGTAGTGCAACTATACGTATCGGAAAAGTAACACGTAGAGACAATGGTGTGTGTATCGATAGGTATTGCCATATACGGTACATCGCTGTTCACGTGTATGGATACATGCTACCAGATATATGTACCACACGATACATGGTTCATACCCAAAACGTTTTGTCGTCGATATTTTGCATCAAATCGCCCTGGGGACCACCTTTTCTGAACGTCCAACCATAGACATTAGTCTTTTGTAATGCGTTGTGAAATGAAAGGAGATGCTATCGTATCAATCGTAGCAGGCATCAGGTTCACAAGTTCTCAACCGATACGCATCTCCCCGAACATACCTTGCGAAGACACTTATTATGAAGACTTTTTGTACGCATAATCGACAAAATACGGATTTCTGACATCTCGAGGGTCACTCTGATTTGATTTGTGTCTTGAGTTGAGCTTTGTTTGCCTCGCCCATGTCGCAGTCTCTTTTATAGCACAAGGAACTTAATTTCTTTGTACAGAAGCGCTGTCGACAGAGGTTCACGAGCGTGGTAACGAAGTACACGCGCAGCCACCCAAAAACAGATTTCTAGCAGTATGCCGCAGGCCTAGACTGCATACTAGGTAGAACGCACGGTGGGGAAACACCATGTGCCCAATAATTGTACAGGAGAGTAGTGTGTTGACATCAAAGCAGAAGAAAGATCCCGTGATTCCCATTATTGCTCGAGGCATACATTCACAGACATGGACGGCAATATGTGTGTACTTTGGCAAATACAAAGAACGCTCAAAGCGCAGAAGGCACCATTTTATTAAAGCCGGCACGTTGCCTTATTTGCCCACGGTTGCCCGCACGCACAATGGTAGAAGTCCAAGTCCAGTCCACCAAACACCACCCATAGCTTCAGAGCGTGCATCTGTCGTCGCATCAGCGGATGTACGGTACCTGGAGCACACAAACAAGATCCTTGGTGACGTGGACACACACTTTCCATACAACCACCCACAGATAGGTGAAATTCCCGTTAATCCAACTAGAGCCGCGAACCTATAAACAGGAGAGTGTCAAGAAATGCAAGGCGTCACTCCATCCCCTCTTTGACTCTCCACCTCACGATAGCAGGGTTGTAATGTAAAGAGCGACGCCTTATGGACGCCGCGAAGGCAAGAGTGTCGGTCGAGGTCTGCGCGTGGGCGAGCGACAATCGTCTTGAGTTAACGGTGGCCGATCGAGCTGAGGTATCACCTTCTGCTCGCTGAGCGCCCCAAACTAGGTCTCCTTTCCGGCAAAACTAAAAAGACGCGAAATGTACCGAGGACCATTTTCTGGGAATCCTGAAACGAGACTGCAGGATCGGGCAAGCGCAGCAAGAGAACTGTATCATTACCAACACCGTTAGCAAGATCTGTCAAAGCACCCCCATATACTGCAAGGTCAGGCTGGCAGCAATTATCGAACCTATCTTTTTGTCGTGATCAGAACGATGTTAGCTTTCCTCATTTTCTTTGCAGCAGCCACGTACATTTCAGCATTTCAGAATGATAATGCATTGATCGAGGGTAGCATCACCATCAATATCTTTGCTGCTTCTTTCTGTTCGGCTGTGTACATGATCGTAACTGTCGGCAACGCTTCCGCTTCAACGTGTTTGGGGCGGGCGTGCGTGCTATTTAAAATAAATATCTGCTCAAGACAGACAGACAGAGAGAGAGAGAGAGAGAGAGAGAGAGAGAGAGAGAGAGAGAGAGATAGTTCCATCGACGAAGGGGTTGACAAGAAAAACGCGCAGTTCGGCGTGGTTGTGGACGGCGCAGATCCACGGCATCACTCAGTAAGTAGATCTTCAAGCCCTCCAACATGAACACTCTCAAGGAATGGTAGGTACCCGGCCTGCCGTGCTGCTGCTAAGAGTCGACCTCATGTGCTTCTAATAAGATGTTGGCCGTGGAACGTGGGTTGCATCAGTGTGAAAACGGAAACGGGTAGGCACCAGCCGCTGACCAACTTGCTATCATTCGCTCTCTGACCTGAGGGCTGATGAAGCAGGCTGGATCGACAGGGTGTGTGCTGGTATGCTGTCGTTTGCGATAAATACCGCTTTTCGCGAACGATACGGGTGGACGCCGTCCCACCTCATGATAAGTAGCATCACTTCGGCGCGAGTATGCTTTGGGTTGCGCGTTTTGAGCTTGTTACGCATTCATGCCTATCGTTGCACCATGGGCTCTTTGGAGTTACTCATTATCACCCCGCGAAGCACCTCGTAACAGTACTAAACGTTTGCTGGGATTCATGTTTATATTGCCTGTCGTGCAAACTTACCCATTGCGCGTTGTTTGTGGTGTGTTGGACGTCTATCCACTACTTCATGCTTTCTTCCCAGCGTGCGACGTTACATGGTCTATCTCCATGGTGTGGTTCCGTCACCCACGCATTTTCGGCGATTCTAGCGTAACGTGCCCGCTACTATTGACCAGAGTCTTTCCGCTATGCATGCGACGGTGAATGGACACTTGTGCAGACGATCAAACTGAAGTTGAAATAACCCGCATGATATCGCCGTAAATGGGTGTTTATTTACTCGCTCACAAATACCGATATCGTATTTCTTCAGTACAATGGAGTGTTTACTGTGTTAGTCAATCGGAAATTTCAAAAACGGTAGTAACACAATAATCCGGTTGCCCCGGTGGTCTAGTGGACTCGTTAGGGCAGGGTCCCCAGGATGTGAGTGGAGAGGCTGGGCCCCTAAGCCCCCATAGAGGGGGATAGAAGAAAGACAAGGA